CTTTTCTCTTTGTGCTGATACAGCTTTCTGATGGTGGAGGTACGAAACGCTCACAGCGCCCGTTGGCCATTATTAACATAAACACCAGAAAGCTGGTCGAAACTGAAGTGTAGCTTAAATTCTCAGAATTTAAAGCGAATTCTTCAACTTGTGAAACACAAATTTTCAAACTCGACACAGCGAGGATTGCTGTAGTACATGTATCTTTTCAAAATAATAAAATATAAGTTTAGCGGCTAAGAAATGACTCTTTCCTTTCTGAAGGGCATAACCTAACACAAAACAAATTTCGACGTAATGTTTTTAATACTATTTAAAATAGCACGTGTTTTTGGGTTTCAATCTGTGTAAACTCTGAAATTTTAAGCCCACGTGTCATATTTTTGTTTTGTTTTACCTTTGATATTTGCTTACAAATAGTACTTGGAAGAATAACAACTACGTCATTGCGAGTTGCGGATGTCGAAAATGTTTGTGTTGTATGCTCTATTGTATTGTAAAAAAAAATAGAGGTTGTTATTGGGAACTGAGTTGTTTTTTTAAAGCTTGTTTTTGAAGTGTCAATAAACTCACAAACACAGCTGCTTTATGTTTACTTGAAAAGACACGTACGTCACAAAATTTTCGCCACCCCACCCACCTAAAAAAAAAAAAAAAAAAAAAAAACTTTTGCGCAATATGCATGTTGCAAGACTCGTTTCAGCTTCGCTACGTGCTTCAATGTGGCGCTATTCCGGAACGATGTGCCGAAAAAAAAAAAAAAAAGAGGCAAGTTTTGAAATTGGTTTTTATTTAAAATGAGTCTCGCGACGTAGATATTGCGTTAATTTTTTTTTTCTTTTTTTGGGCGAGAAGTTTGTTTTATGACGTGCATGTATTACGGAAGCGCTTGAAAAATATTATACGGGAGCTGAGTGCCTCCGGGGCCATTCCGAAACGTGCTTCTATTTCGGGTCAGCGTGCCAAATTTGCAGAATCGTTTCTAACTCAAAATTCGTCTCGTAACGTAAATGTTATCACGAATGACAATTATTGAGGCAATGAAAATTGAAGAAAACTAATCGTTTAATGGGGTGAACTTGTTTTCAAAACAAGAAAAAGATAAAAGGCTGGCGTCGCAGGCCTCGATGGCGGCTTAACAGCAGGATCAAACGCTGGGGCGAGACTGACCGCGGCTCGCCACGTGGAGCCCCTTATGCACACGCGTTGGTTTCTGGAACAATCGGCGTAGAAAGTTCGGTGCGTAGAACATTCGGACCTCGAACAAGCATCAGGGTTCTCGAATTTACCAGAACATTAAACTGCAAGAATAAAAAAAAACAAAAAAAAAAAACGGGTAAATCCCAGGAATCGATTCCTGGGCTTCCGCACGAAAGTCCAGCGCACGAGTTGCGCAAGGAGCTGACAAACTTGCAGACCGTATAGTCACCGACAGCTTTAAAAAAAGTAAGGCGTGGTGAGTTCCGAACACCGTGATCCTAGGTGTCTTATCATCGCTCCGGAGTCAACGAGATTGGGGTATCGGCTGATTAGAACGCCGAAGAAGGATTCCCGATAAAAACGATTCCAGATATTAAAAAAAAAAAAAGAGTTTCTATGGAAACCTCGTTCGTGCATAAGTGACATTGAGTCTAAAGTTTATGAAGCTTGAGCGCTGAGTTACATGGTTCTTGTGCTTGCTCTCCCCAAGACGATCTGAAGTGGAGGATTGTCTTCTTGTAAGCCCTGAGATGGGGAACGATAAAAAAAACGGACGAACACAAAATCTCAAACGCAAAGCGAGTGACGTCACAATAGCCTCGTTTATAAATTATCCGGGCACGCATTGAGTAGAAATGCGTCAGTTTTTATCTCCAAAGAACATGAACTCCCATGTACCTGGGGGAGGGTCGTAACTCTTGTTGACGGGAGCCTCCTGTTCTTAATTGAAGTAGATGCTTCGTATCAGATAAAAATGGGTTTACATTGTACAGGAATCATTTCGAGTTAATTCGTTCGCTTATATATGCGTGGCTGTCGTATATGTTAATTTTATTATAGGGAATTCCGCTGGTAGATCCGGAGCGTTTTTCGAACTCCGCGAAGGGGGCGAAAATTCGCTGCGCTCCAAATCGACGAGCAGAAATGGACTCACATTTTAGGAGCGACCCACCGGAGACGGTCTGCCGTTCAAAATGGCCGCTGCTCGAACTTAACAAGCCGACTGAGCTTTCCGACGACCAGTCACATATACAGTCACTGTCCAGCTGCGCGGAAGCATCACGTGATAGAGGCCGGGCGCTTCATAGTTACTACGGAGTCCGTGTCACAAATAGCGAGGAAGACTTCCCGCGTTGGGCCACCGTTCTCTACTTTCTCGCTGCTTCGGAGCGGCGTGGCACGCACAGCGATCGCCATCGGTTGAGTTCAGATTGCTGCTAAGACTTTATTAATTAAAGTTGAGGCTTGGGCGAGTTGGTACATACTTTCAAGTTAAAAAGAGCGCGAAAAGACGAAGACCAGACAAAGTATTGACATGGACGCAGCGCTGTTGAGGCTTGGGCGGGTTGGTATATACTTCGGAATTAAAAACATCGCGAAAAGACGAGAACCAGACAAAAGAAGTGACACGGACGCAGCGCTGCGTCCGTGTCACTTTGTCTGGTCCTCGTTTTTTCGCGCTGTGTTTTTTTTTATTAATTAAACGAAAAGAGGCAGCGAACCATCACTTGCACGGTCGTTGCCTAGTCTGTTCTTTCTTTATTGCACGACAAAACGCGGGCAGAATGCAGTGTAAAAATGCTAAGCAATTTACCAGTTGCGGCAAATGAAGGCGTCTAACGTTGCGTATGCTTCGTTCGGATTTTCTGTCGTTTTTGTTTTTCTCGCTCTTCCTCTCAGGATCACATATCACAACGCTCACAACATGCCACACGAGATGGGAACGTTCGAGCCATCAAAATCCTGCGTAAAGAACCCATGTTTATGAACAGATCTGGCTCGTCGGTCAGGCTGGTCTGGCGACCACACCGCGCAGGCACACCGCCGAGTGACTGACGTAGCGCGCTTCTGTCGATTTCTTCAAGCCTCGTCGAATTTCATGAATCAGCTTCGGTGTGGTTGAAAACGCTCTACGGGGTCGGTGATACCACATAACAGGAGGAAGGGGGGGGGGGGGGGGGGGGGACGAACTTGAGCAGGATCTGCTAATGGAAGATGCGCGATCCAAGAGGGGCCCTATTTGAGCTTTCCAAAGTCGCGAGCGGAGTTCACCATTGGTCATCGCCAAAAGTTTACCTTGTACCTGTATTCGAAGGCATGAATTGCCCGTCAAAAATAGCAGAGAACGGACTGATTGGTCTCCCAGCAAACTTTCCTGTGTTGTTTTAAAAAGGCGTATTCTTTTGCAGTGGTACAAGACTGAGTTTTTTCACATTATCACATGGTATGCCATTGATCGCGCGTTCTACTTGTTCCGGTAATTTTTCGAAACTTTACTGCAGTTTTTGAACCGACGAGTGCTCCTTAAGAAGTGGATACTTATTTTTTCATTGTGTGGTATCTAGCACGTTCGGTATTTTTTTAAGTGGCAATATAACGGGAGAAAATATTACGTGTTTGCCAGGGATATAAAATCTACTTCAAAATGTATCTAAGATATTGTTACAGTTACTCATACGAAAAGGTGCCTAGGTACGTACGGTACTCGCTTACAAATGTACCTATGTACAGGTACTTTTCCTTCAAAGATATTTTCTCTATTTATTTTGCCCAAATTTGTCAGAATATATTGAAAGTGGAACTTTTTATACTAAGGATACACACAAAATCGAGTTAAATAAATTGGCTTTATTGATGTCAATGTGATGTCCACATCCGAGTTGAGTTCTCACGTGCATTATCACGCTCCAATTGGTTCACCGAGGCCACAGCTTTTACTGTTTACCATGTCTTGCCGAAACCGCAAAAACTCGCTTGTTGAATTCTTGCTTTCAGAGCCGGTGCTGACGTCGACGAGCCCAGAAGACGTCGGCCGCATGAAGAAACGCACAAGTCGAGTGCATAGGCACCTAACCTTCGCGACGACGAGTGAAATGCTTCAAGCTTCCTTGTTTGTTTTTGTTGTTGTTGTTTTCTTTCGTTAGTTGGAAGCAAAATAAGCTTCTTTTTTTTTCTTTCAGAACCTTTGCAGTTTTCATAACTGCAAAATGTGAGTCCGATTTATTGAGTGGAAGCTCTATTGTATACGCGATGTTACATTGCTTTACGATTGTAGTTATAATTTATTTTCAATTATATTTTATATTCATGTATAGCTATCAGAGGAGCATCCAACACTTAATGAAGTTGATTTTCGTTTGAGATGAAAAAAGCAGGTTGCTATTTTTCCTAAACGGAGTTCCGCAGCGATTCGATAAATTGGGGTCGCTAGAAAGTCAGCGCTAATCCACCGCTCGCTCAAGTGAACACCGCCATTTTCTAAACTGTCGTTCGATAAAACATGATGGGCGGGGCTTCGTTCGCTAAAACGTTGTTCGATTAAGTCTGTACCTCCCAGGTCGTACCCAACTCAACGTTAATCACGGCACATGGTAGTGGGTTAATACTTCAAGATGTATAATTTCTACCATTTGGCCGAAGTGAACAGAAAAGTCTGTGTACAAAGTTACTTCTCTTAGTTAGAAGTTACTGGAAAATGTACCTAAGATACAGGTACAGATACCGAGAAATGAAAGTACCTAGGTTTGCACCTCCGGGTACAACAAAAGTACCCAGATACCGATTTCCAGTTACTTGAACCTAGGTACTTTTCAACCCTTGTGTTCACCTTCGGTTTAACCACGGATTTTATTACGAAAGTGCCTTGACAGCAGACGTGATCCACTATCGGAATGATACTCATCAGTGTGCCATAATATGGACGATTGAATTAGGCATGAATAGGATAAGTAGGGCATGTAGACGATCACTGTTATTGAAAAGGCGCTTTAGAGGTAGCTCACACTTGAAACATGTTTGACCTACTCAGTGAGTGTTTTATTGGTCTCTTCTGGTATGGTTGAATTTCGAAGTACAAAGTCGTTCAGTTGCTTGGCTGCTTGATTGAACTCGTATCTCAGTGTATTGTCCACTCTGTCGCGTATCAAATTCTCGAAGAAATACGTGGTTCCTTTCGCAAACAAGTTGAACATGTAGCTGAAGGTGCCTCGATTCTTGAGTTGTAGGGTCAGCCCTTCCATGGTTTTGATTCGAAAGTTCTTAACCATGAGACCCTTTCCAAGTTCTCTGAAAGCAAAACGTTTTGTAATGAATTAGGGTTAACTTTAATGGTTTGAGCGCGGCTCTCTCATACTGAGGTCATATGATTTCCGCCCGATGGTATATAAACAAGAACACATGGCAGCCGCATTATGACAAGATCAGAACCATATCCGGCTTGTTTTAGGTCATACACAAGATCATTTTTTTCCTAAGCCGGGAAATACGCGATACAAAAAGACTTGGAATTAAGTAGTTGTTCCTGCAGAAGAATGTTTTCGACCGCGGCCGATATCAAACCACGTGTATTAGAAACAATTAGTGACTAAATTAACTGAATTTGGCTAACTCATTTTGAAATATTTTTGTTAGCTGAAATATTTCATTTAAATGTATGTAGCCGTCATTAATACAGGCCAAATCTGTTGACAGCTTAAAAGAAATATTCCTTCAAGTATTCCCGTGGCGAAGTTCAGTAATTTGCCACGTGATAATATTTATACCTCTCGCTTATTGATTCGTTTTTCCGCGTTCTTATCGGATAATGTCACAATCTATTTAGCTGTGGAGTGATAATAAGACGCTCAAAACTCACCGCGCCCCACGTGCCTTAGACTGTCGGAGCCTATAGCGTGATCGCAAACAAATTCATGAACCAAACGTCGAGGGGCCCGACCATTCTAAAGACATTTGGTTAGACATCACCATTATTGTTGACGCCATGCTGGCGCTCAATGATTGAGCTGCGTTTGCTCTAGGGATCTTCGTCTCGTCGAAGTGCAGAGCATTATAGTCACTGATAGATTCAGAAACGTAGGGCGTGACCAATTGATGTCATATATTTTTTTTTTCCGAATCGTTCTTCGATGTTTTTATCGATTAATGCCGTTATTTCATTATATGTGGAATGTTAACAAGATGTTCGGGGCTCAGCGCGTCCTACCCTTCTTAAGCGGTCAGACAATAGCTACACAGTGTTTTCCAGGCAACAGATGGATCCACATAACAAGCATATCATCAAAAAAAAAAAAAACAATACGAAAAAAAAAAAAAGACAGTGCTTGGGTGGTGCTTGACACGAGCCTTCTTGGGTAGAATAAAATAGTTTGTTGTTGGGCGAGTTGTTAACGTTTGGATACATGGTTTTGCGCAAAAAAGACGGACACAAGAGATACATGGTTTTGCGCTCGTGTTTGTGTTTCTCTCTTGTGTCCGTCTTTTTTGCGCAAAACCATGTATCCAAACCTTCTTGGGTAGGCCTGGGGCGATTTGGTCCACTTTATATTTTTATCGAGCTTGCGCTACTCTGGTGGCTCCTTGTTTTCTTTTCTGCCGTGCCACTGGAACCTCACTCTCTCTCTTTTCCCTCTGTTTACATTCTCTGAACTGTGTTTATTTCTTACCTTCTATCTCGTCGTCCATTTCTTTTATGAGTCCGCTTTTGTAGCGGTGCATCTGGTCGTCGATGGCTCCTATCTTACTATCGACCATTTTATCGCGGGCGCGCCATTTTGAATACAGCGGCGCCATCTAGCGAGCGTTAGGTTCCCCGGCCATGGTTGACTGGTTAGAATCGTTGAGTGCTCCGAAGTGCTGGGCATCCGACTTGGGGCGCGTCTTGTGTTCTTGTGCACCGCAGATGGTGTTTTTCATATCATAAATAATTTTTTTTTTTTTGCCTCGCATTATGGCATTCGCCAGTGCGGCGATGCCGAGAAGAGCGGCACCGAATGCGGCACCGATAGAAATCGGAGGGGAGTGCTCAAAATGTTGTTTCAATTAATAGCGATTGAATTTTCTTTCAAGTGTCTTGCCTTTTTGGCTGCAGTACACCGAGAATATTTATGGCCTTTCGTGTCGCTCACAAAAATTAAATACAATATGAAAAATATACCTTAGTTGAGCGCGATGGTGACAAAGTTAAATACAAGTAAAAATAAAACATCAAGGACGGACAAACGTGTTATTTTGTCCGCCCTACATGTTTTATTCCTTTTTTTTAATGTGATCAACGACGTACGATGTGAGTGCAATGCAGGGAACGATCGAAGGTTGCTCCTTCCGTCTTGCAGATGTTTATAAAGGTTTTAATTGAGGAACTCGGTGTCGTCGAGCGTGTCCTTCGTCTTGACTGAAAACTGCGAAGTCGAGATTGGCCCATTGTTGGAGCGAGTCGATCAATGATTCAACGATTCGAAATCGATGCATGAGCATATTTGAGCAATAAAAAATGAAGTTTTCTTTCCAGATACGTTATGTACTAAATTGGAATATAAGAATAACCCTGTCGCGTAGTGACGGTCGACTAAGTGTTCGGCTCTCGCCACGGTCGGACTGGAAGCGCGCTCTCTTTTTCTCTTCTTACGGCCTTTGCAATTGGGGCAATCGCCAACTCCCGCCGCGATTCGCGGGGGGCGCTGTCACCTCACCCCTGGGCTACCCTTTGCCGTTCGCACAAAGTGCGTCTGACAGTGTTTCTCAACGCTGTCGCAACTTGCGGCCGAGATTTTTATAGCCTTTGACACCTGATCCTTACGTTTAGACCCTCAGCCACTATCTGATGCGCTTCTGATGAGCCCAAAACGGTGAATATTTGAAGCACATCTCCGAGAGATTCCGGAGTAAAAAGTACTAAGTAGAGACAGAAAATGCAATTGCGGAAAAACTATACTCGTTTTTACCTTCAAGATTTCTGCTGCAACTCAAGAACAGGAGGAGACGGACCCCTTCTACGTGGAGGAACTTTAAATGATAAATAATTCGTACACTCTCGTGAAATGTAAGCAGGCCCAATCTATCTATAGCCGTGGTCTGCATCATCTTTTCATAGGCCGCACATGAAGTCGGTCAGCTGCTCTAGACGAGGGTGTAGCAGTCTGTACAATTTTCGCACAGTGCATATTACAGCCTAAAATGCTTCCTCGAGAGCTTGTGCACATGTCCAGCTGAGTTTTCGTTTCTGTCCGTGACCGTCTTTGCATGGTTAATCAGAAGTATTCTGAGGAACCGTTGCCAAAACAACAACCTACGAAGCTCGAACACCAGCGGAAAGCCGCTCGAAGGGACTCTCCGAGTGGGATGAACTGGTGTTGAGTGGGGGTGAGGTGGTTGCGCCCCTGGCGACAAGCAAGTGAACTACATACGGAGAAAAAATGCCATTGACTCCCGGGCGATTGCAAAGGCCGTAAGAAGAGAAAGCGAGCGGGCGCTTCCAGTCCGGCCGTGCTCTCGCGCAGGAGATCGCGATTAAGAAAAACCGATAGAACTAACTTTATGACAATCTCCAGCCACACACGGTGATGGAAGTGAGCCTTCAACTAAGCGTTGTAGATGATAAAATCGAGTCGACGCTATAACTGCAAGATATAAGCATTAAGATAAATTAAGTTACGAAAAGTTACGAGCTGAAACAGCGATTCTCACGAGAAAACTTGCACCCACGTTGCGAGCGTAGCCCATGCTCATCGAGAGTACAGCAGTGAGTTCGGTGCACTCTTCTCACAAAAATAGTTCCGAACATACCCGAGAAGATGGCGTCGGGGAAAAGTATTTTCTGTTTACCGACGCAATCCACTGCCGCCGAAGGTTTTGGTCATTTAAAAAGCGATGGAGTTGGAAGATATTGCAGCCGCAGTTGCCTTGTGAGATTTCGTGGACGATAAAGATGTCATCCGATAATATCATGCGCTTTCGGTTGTTATTCGGACAGCCTATAACCGAACAGTGATGTCCCAATGACCAGGGGACAGTCGTCATTAATTCAACTAGCTCTAATTACATCTGAAAGTAAAATAAAATAGAGGAAACCGCGAAGAAAACAACCGAACTTGAAGGAACACAGGCGTCCAAGGCCTTCATACAGGTGTGTGTGTGTCTAAGCGTTGTAGATGAAAAACGGGGGAAAATTGAGAGCCAATAGTGTATGTGTATAGGGCGCATCTGTTACTGTCTTTTACTCATTCCTAACCATTTAGGGAAGAAAAGAAACGCCGGCAGCCCTTTCCCCTTTTCTATTTTGCCCTCTTTCAGTAAAACGGTCTATACTCTGTTATGGGCTAAGAATTACAAAGCAAGCTCCTCTCGAAAATCCTACACCCTTTCCACTTTAGCAGAGCAAACGCTGGAGGGGATGCAAGTGGACTCGCCTCTGCTCCACTGTTCGTTCCGCTAAGTGGAAAGAGTGGATATCTTTGTGGGAGGAGCTTGTGCGGCTTGATTATTAACGAAAGGGAGCACCTTCGAATAGCCGAAATAATAATTAGAGGAAATTAGGTGTCTACAGTTCATGTCCCAAAGTGATTAAAATCATCATGGTCACCGCAGCGAATGGCTGAGAATCAATGCAGACCATCTAACAAGCTTCAAAGTGCAGACAAAATCGTCCCGTCTCCACGGTATACAGTGCTCAATGCGCAGTCAGCCGTTGTCGTATAGCGGATGCCGCGGGCCGGAATCGAGCCAACCAACCGGAGATCCGCAGTCTGACACGTTGCCTCGGAATCACTTAATAATTTGGCCTTTATCACCCGAATGCCGAGACGATTTTTGTTACTCGATGCTCAGAACCACTCACTTTGACAAATTAGAAAGTACAAAGACAAAACAAAACAAAAAATTTAAATTACGCGACGCGCTTAGAAGGGGGTGAAAGTGACCGTTGGGGAAGAAGAATTAATTATATTTGCGCGCTTTTCTTTTAAACAAATAGCTATCTTTTTTTCAGTTTCAAATGCTTCGTTGGGGGGAAGCGGTCACCGGAGATATTCATCTTAGAACATTCGTAACGTGACCTTTCTTAGAACAGTTCACGATGGCCTGGCTAAAAGCTTTATCACTTGGCGGCGTCATTGCATCACGGCCATTCCGCAGTGTAGATGATGACTGCACTGGCTCCACGCTCGTATTAAATTTCAGAGACTGGACTCTCTCGCGAGCCTTCACGTCTTGTTTCCCCTTGTTCTACGTTCGTGTCGCTGCTATCTTAAAATAGAAATCAGAAATTAACCACTAAGCGACAATCGCCGTCAGCATGTTTGCCACGCTTTACGTTTCTGAACACTGCGTGACCGTAAGCCATTCGAATAATCATGTTCTCAACTTTGCCGTCCTCGGAACGAATTCTAATCATACGCAGTAGCTTTCTTCGGCAAAATTTAGCTATCCGGAACTCCAAGGGTTCGTTTTTAAGCCCCTTTTCTCTACTTCACGTTTCGACCACCAGACCGCTCCATTTTTCGTTGCTCGCTTAGATAGACGGATAGCTTTCAGTTTCTCTCATTCACGTCTTCACCGCAGGGCAGCGTCACTTCCTCTGGAGTTGCGAATAGCTCTTCGTGAATACTTCCGCCACAATATATCTCGTACTGTTTCCACCTGCTCTTTTTATAATTCTATCTCACTTCTTTGTTTAGGAATGCATACTTACTCGACGACTTCCAAGATGACGCGAATCTTCTGAATCGCGATGACCACGTCAACGGCGTAAGTCATTCCGATTAGGGTCACATCTCCGGCATAGAGCAATTGGAGAGGACCCGCCCCAAAATCGGCGTGAACATAAATGCCTTTTCGTGTTGCCGAGAAGTGGAAGTACTCCGTCCTGTGGACTGTTGACAGACCGACCAGGGAGCCATTGGTCAGCGTGGCTTGTCCGCGGAACCTCGTGAAGAATACCCGTCTTTCGAAAGATTGGTTCACATTCGGTAGAGTCATGGGGTCCAGGCGATAATATTCCACAAACCGCCGCAGCGCCTGCTCCAGATAAGTGTGAGATGTGTTGTAGGACAACTGCGCGTTTGCCACAGAACCTGTAGATGGTGAACAGAATCGAATTAGATTGAGAAACTAATTATTATCCTAAAAAGACTCCACTAAATAAACCAAGACCAACAGACACGCACAGAAGAAACTTCACGCTGACTTAAGACTGAATATTTTAATACAAAAGTGTAAAGCACGAAACCCAGAGTAGCAAAATTTGTGCATTAGAGATGCCTAAAACGATTAGGAGCTGCCCGTGACTAGACATGAAGCAGATCGGCCTCGCCCTTGACCGAGCTCCCTCCATGAATTCGAGCGAATGGCTCTCCCAAGTGATGTGGGCGAGAGTAAACGCTCCAGGCTACAGGTTATTTTAGATTGTTTGTGTCTTGACGAAACTTCCGACGGAATTGACCTATTGGCTCAACGAATTTCTTACACTTTCGAGTATTGAAAAATTTGCCAACAGGCACAGCCTGCGTCAATATACAATGCGGCAAAAGCGGCTGCAGTTCAGGATAACCTTTATATTCAGCAGCAATATACTCACCGCACACTGCAATGTAGACAAGGAGAAATGGCAGAAGGTTTTCCATCTCGAAGGAGCGGGGAACTTTCGACCAGATCTTTAAACAATGGAGCACTAGTATTGGTGCTGTCTTATCGTGTTACCGCCACTGCCACCATGCCGGGAACTTTTGTAGACGGATTTGTTTTTTCCTTCGGCCTTTTTGAAGCTGCGATAAAAACAAAAGTACGGTAGCAAACAGGGTCAAATGGAAGTAGTGACGCTGTTATTTTAAAGCGGAACGCGAAGAGAGGCTTCAGTTTTTTTTTTCTTTCTATGGTCCTCTATTTGTCGGGTGGTCCAAGCAAGAAGAATCTACACACAGAAAAGAGGTGTTCACAGTACTTTTCGCAATCGGAATGCGACAAGCCAACAGAATCGACCACAATAAAGTTTACTTCAGATGTTGCAAATATAATACGGTTTCTTTGCGTTGACTCGAGGTCCTCTCACCTTATTGAATAATCCTAAAATATTAGTAGCAATGAATCTTAGCCACGTTTGTTTCGAAGCTTTCCAGGTATACTTTTCCACACTGACGCCAGTCCCGTGACGTCTATTTCTGACCTTTTTGAAAATCGCAAGCGTGCGGGGGCATAGCTTGAACAGGCATGAAGATACGCCAGAGCAGAGATTCCGAAAGCTCCTGGCATGACCGTCGCGCCCCGGGAAGGAAGGGCGTCAGCGGCACTTTAAAAAATTAATTTTTGCAGCCTCCGTGCACCAAATTGAAAAACTAATCTCGGTATTCGAGATCCTCTTTGCAAAACTAAGGTGATTTAAGTGTTTTTTGCTCAAATACAGAAACGCTTCACTTCCCCTTTTATTGTAAAGCCCCCGTCCCGCGAATGAAATCTAGGAGACGATAAAGCGCTAGGGTACTTCGTGAAGAGGCACTTTGACAGACACACACCGTCCACTACGTCTTCGTATCATTCGGGTGTTCTGTTTTGTTGAGCGTGCTTAGGTGCTTTGGCCCTTGTCACGAATCAGTGGCCTTCCCGCTTCGTCTTGTCGACTGCGCCGACAAACTGAGAGAGAGATAGAGAAGGAGACGGGAGAGAGCGCGAACGTCAGAACGCCGAGCTTTGATTGGAATGGACAGTGGGTAGACCTGAAGCTAGCTGCCTTTATCCCCACTTCACTAGTTAAACACATTCGAATGTGAAAGCCAAACGCAGGATTGCCGGATTTTCGCGCTGCAACGCCTTGAACGAGTGCAGTGGAGAAAAAGGTTGCTAGCTTCAGGTCAACCCACTGATCATTCCAACCAGAGCTCAGCGTTCTGATGCCCCCACGCGCTAAGGCCTCCTCCTCTCGCTCAGTTTTTTGGCTCATAGCAGTTAAATCTTCCTGCTGAGAAAGCGAGAATCTTAGAATCCTCCATCCATCGGAACACTTCCGGCGGGACTTCCGAAACTAATATTTTGATTACGACTAGACCTCAACGTGATGCCAAGCTCCTGAAAGCGGATAAGCGTGCGTACTCCTGTAAGTAATATTAAGAAAATAAATCAGCTTTGTTCTTTTAGTAAAACGGTCGTCATTTCATTAATTTTCTGACGCTTTCTCTTGCTTTACGAAGTAACTTTTGATAAAATTTCTTTGCGAAGATACTAAGAAAAAGTTATTTGTCTTTTGTGTATATTTAAAGATCGAGCTGTCGGAGAACGATGAAACATATTTCGTAGATTCTCCCGTCATGGCCATTGCACCAACATAAAAAAATGCGTCATCAAAGTTTGGCTTGCTTCAGATTTCCTATCGTACTCCGTTGCAACACCGCTTATTGACAGTGTTCCATTACTATGCGCACTGTGCTTTATGCTCTTTGAGAAAGGATGAGTCGCTTTCTACGTATATGAATTGCTCAAACCGAAGCATTTCATGGAGAGATTTGAAGGTCACATTGCACTACTTTCAAAGAATTAGGGATGACTAACCCTTTCTTCCGGTTTCGGAAAGGTCAAGAAGAAGGAAAGACAAGAAGTTTACAATGAAAAATTTAAACTGAAACGGAAACAGAAGGAGGAAAAAGACGAAAAAAAAAGAAGGAAAAAGTTGTTTGATCTTGTTTCCTTTTCTACGTCTGTCAAAAATACCTTCCTTCTTCTGCCCCAGTCTCGAGTTAAATTCACCATGGTAAACTGCCACCTGCTTGTCTGCGGACTGACAGTTCTTAAGTAAAAATTAGTTATTCCTTTTTATTTTTACAAATTAACATAAAAAATGGCCTTTTCCCGTAAAAAATCGCTGAAATTTTTATATTGTAACGGTCGGGACCTTATCTATGGTACTCTACGCTGGAAGGGTATGATCTGACCTCTACATTTTCTCATGCGCAAGTATAGATTTTTTCTTTGTAGTTTAGTTACGTGTACAGGTTCTTACTTACGCTTAAACAAAAGAGATATCGGAATGCATGTCAGTCAGTCGGGTGTGTGCTGTTCCATGCAACACACCAAAATTAAATATTTTGACATTTAGCTACGCGTGATCTTAAAAGTGGTCAAGACGTATTCCTGGTTTTTAATCCTCGAATAATTATAGTGCAAGCTAGTTTAGAGACAACTATCGCACTGAGGTCGGGAAATTTCGTTTGAATTACAGATTATTCCGGATTCTAGTTTGTACAAACGTGTTTACTCGTTTGTTTGAATTATTTCATCTTGACTCTAAACTAAAGCACATGTTCATCTTAGTAAAAATCACAGATGTGCGTTGGTGGATGAAAGAGAAATGTTTAGATTTTTCACTGAGCTTTTGAAGCACACAGTAATTTAGCCTCATTTAAGAGTAAATTAAGTACTTAATCAGAGCATGTTTGCATATGGTAGAATATATCTGTCAATTATACGTTATTGTCTTACGACAATAGCTATCACTCTTAGTTAAGCTGGCAGTAGCTATATAAACAAGATCCACTCGTAGCGATAGAAAAAAACGCACCTTTGATATTGAGCTCATCCTGACATCCGACGGCCTGTGCTATGTCCTTGCGCCGCCTGCTGGTGCAGACAACCTTAAGAACTGGAGTGCGAGGCTTAGTGAAGGCATGACGCGATGTTCTACCTCACGTGCGTGTCTTGACGTCGACGCTGTGTTGACGAGCATTGTTTCACGCTGCATCTCGCTTTCCCGCCTATTCACTCGTGACTGATCTATACAGTGTCCTCTCTCCAGATGACTCCCTCTTTCCGGTACTACATGGTGTCGCAACCGCGTGACTGCTTTGGTGTGCGGCGTCACACTGACGGGCGACCTTGACTTCCATTCCGGCCTCGGCAGACGGAGCGTGGAAACGTTGTAGCGGCTTCATTTGTTTCGCCTCACTCCCCGGAGTCACCCCAATTCCGAGCTTTCACTTTTGAAACGCTCTGTAAATGCTTACGTATTCACTAAGAGCTCAAGAAAGGCAGGGCGTCGCGAGTCCCGAACATTATATTATTGCTATTGTAATGCTGTATTAACACTTGTGAGTTTCTGGCAGCATGCTATAAGAACGCCGAGGTACAAAGCAAGAAGATGGAATATAACCAACAACGGGGGTCCCTGAGAAAAGAGAACCGTGTTTTCCGGCCGGATAAATAAACAATTGATCGCAAAAAGCTCAAACTAAATGAGAATGTTACGCTAGCAGTTGGGTTCGAACGCGAGAGTTTGAGAACGTGACGGTATCTGGATCAAGAAATAATTGGGAAAGACGAAATTTCTCTATTGGCAAACGTCCACCTAAGCTTAGTATCGTCAAAACTAGAACTGATATTGCGGACGCATGTGGGATTTGTATCGGTGAAAAATACTTGTCACCCAAAAATACATTGTTTTCGTTCTTACTGATAGGCCTTTTCACTGGAATAAGTGCTAAAGGCACACGAAACGTCATTTGTTGATTTGGCGATATCAGGCTTACTGGGGCGTCGGTTCATAGAGAAATTTTGTCTTTTTTTAGGTTATCTGTTGATCCAAGTAACCGCTTGTTTTCAAAATATCGCTCTCTATTTTAACCGCTAGCACATTCTCACGGAGTTTAAGCTTTCTACGATGCGTAAATTTGTTACCCAAACCAAAAAAAAAAAATTTTTTTACGAGAACGCTTTGTAGTTTTTTTTTTTTTTTTTTTTATCATAGGAACTGCAAGAAAGGCTTTGGCCAGAAGAACTAGCGGTTCGTTCAGTGCCCGGCATTAGCAGGATAATTGTTTTCGAGCGCTGATCTGGAGTCGGAGTCTTAGCCAAAGACGAAGCCGAAATAGGGGCCGAAACTTCGTTTTTAATAATGCCCTTCTTTAAAAAAAAAAAAAAAAAAAAAAAGATGAAAGCGATGATTGAGTTTTTTTGTTTTTTTTTGTGTGTGTGTGTGTGACGTGAGAAAAATGGCACGTGTAGCAGAGTGGTGACCGAATCGCCGGTGTTGTGATTTAATTAGCTGTCGTTGTGAAATCAGGTTGATAACGTCTTTAATCCATTGTGGCTGACCGAAACAGTCCGCTCGTGTTCTGGGCACCCGACGGGCGAAAGTTGTCGTCGTCGTTCTTTAAGGCCCAGTTCGTAACACGTCTTCCCCGTCAGAAAAAAAAAATAAAAAAAGCTGGGCTTGCTTTCCAGCTGGAGTGGAATGTCGCGGAGGTGACACAGGGGTTGAGGGGAGGGGGAAGGGTTCGGGCTTGTAGAAATTGCTGCAGGTGGACTTGAAGTAAACTGGCGCTGATTTGGCGCCGTTTCTAATTCTGGGCAAGTTGTCACCCCGTCGAAGGGCACCTCGGCGTCCGGCGATTTAGGTGTTGGTGATATCTCTCAGTCTGCACAATCTAGAAACCCCTGTGGATCATCGTTCGCCTCTAATACACTTGATCAAGGTTGCAACGCACCAAATTTGGATTTATCTGTATGTGGTGACCACACGAGAGCCTTCCGTGCTACTGACAACTCCCGGCAGCCAGTTTGGCCCCTTGCTATTGTTGCGCATGAAGATCTTCTGACCTGGTTTGAGAAGGGAGTGGGCAGGCAGGCTCCCGGCGTCCCCCCC